ATGGATGGATGGATGGATGGATGGATGGATGGATGGATGGATGGATGGATGGATGGATGGATGGTGCAAAATAAGTCTTTTAATATGGTTCATTAATTTCAAAACCATATATCTGTCACTGATCACTGTGCACTACCTTCTGCTGATCTACTGAACCAATCAATAGTGAAACAAAATGTGGAAATGTTTCTAAATAATTTTTGGAATTGCATTGTACTCCCTTTGGTTTGAAAAGTGAAAAAAGAAAACCTCACTGTATTCAGCCACATAAAAGTGAACTCCTTTTTGTTTTGAAAGAGCATTCTAATAAAAATAATAAGGTGACCTTTTTTAAAATAAAATATGCCGCTAAGAGTTATTTTTGTCTATAAAACATCACTGAAACCACACGGGAATAAGTTTCACTGAGAGAAATGAAAGCACTCACTATGTGGACTTTTTTCTGCTAAGAATATTATGTGATAAACTCCTTTGTTCAATGTTTTTGTTTCTGTTTTAACAAAGCAAACTGGGCTTTAAATAGTTGTTTCTTTCTCCAAAACTGCAAATCAGCTTCAGTTAAAAAGAAAAGAAAGTGAATGACTTACTGTGTAAATGTAGTAATAGCCTCTTAAGTGTGACTGTGGATTAGAAATGAGATTAAGGTCACCCAAAAGAGAAAAATAAGCCGATATTTTTATTTCATAACATAGAGGGTAAAAATTGAAAACTTGATGCTGAATTTAATTGATGACATGTTTGATATATTTAGAATCCAATAAAACCATTTTGTACTTACAGCGCTGCCATTTTTCTTGGTATAAAAGAACAAAGTAGTGTTTTGCAGCCTGAACCAGTAGGTCACCCATCTTATTTTCTATATTCAACATAAGCAGATAGCAGCCAGTTAAACCACAGAGTCATTCATAAAAACTCCTAAAACCTTTTCAAACTCACCAAAGTGTCTTTTCTTTTTTGCAGGAACCCTTCAAAAAGTATCTTAGTCCCATCGACAGACATTTTTCCCCCCACTGACGGTAAATTCTCCGTGCTGGAACCACTTCTTCTCATCACTTTTACCTGATTGTGTGCTCTGACTTCCTCCTCACTCGAGCCGGGTGTTATTGTTCAGACTCACTTCTCTATTCTCACAAACCAACGTCATGCTTGGGATTTTTTTTTTTTTTTTTACTATTTAACCTGTGCAGGAGGCTAGATTTATTTGCAAAATGTGCATCAATAACAATTCAATAAGCTCAGCAATGTAACTAACAGTTTCTCCCAATTAACCTGAAAAAATGCCACATGGAATGACTTCTAGTTTCAATTTTGTTAAACTCTGCAGCTCTTTAGCTCAGAGGTGCAACATTTTGCTGCACACAATCTGCCGCATGAATGACTGATAACAAAACTCCTGATAGCCAGTCTCTTGTGGGCAAAGGTCTTCGGTTCATTAATCATTATCAGTCATCAAAGTTCTTTATTATCCAATGAGAGATTCCACACAGCAAAAAAAAGATCTAGATATAAGTAAAAAATCTCTTAAATTAGATGTATGTACCCATAACGACCTAGAAAAAAGTTAAAATTTCTTAAATCAAGTTTATTTACCCTTAATTTGCCAATGGATAGAGTATGTTTACTCTTAAAATAATGAGATAATATGCGCTTGTAACAAGACTTTTTCTTATTTTAAATGTCAATTGTCGTGTTCCATTGGCAATGTGTCTCACTTACCTCCTCAGTTTAGGACAAAATGCACTTATTTTAAGAGACAAAGACTTATTTAGGTTTCTATTTTTTTGCAGTGTGGAATAAGTATTTTTAATCTTAAAATTATATGATTACATATTATGCACATGAAATAAGAAAACGGAGTTGTTTTTTCCCCCTTATTTTAAATGTAAATGTTCTTGTTCCATTGGCAAAATGCCTTACTTGCCTATTCATTTCAAGAAAAAATTCACTTATTTCAAGACAAAATGATTTACATTTTTTGCAGTGCATGTCTGATGGCCACTGCAGTATCTTCCAGGACTTCCTCTGCACTGAAAAAAATATATAATGCAACCGCTTTTGGCATTTACTTAATGCTATTTAGTTACTCTAACACAATTGTTTCATGCCCTACCCTGCTAACATGTAACAATTGTGTTAAAGTAGCTGGATATGATTAAGAAAATGGCAATTATTGCATTTTTTTTTTTTTTTTTGTGGCGTTGACATATGCTTTGGATGATTGTTCTCTCTGAAGGTCCAATAACACACATACTTTAATGGTAACAGTACCTTTCCCTGATTTACATGTGAGCTTAAGCTCAATCCCTTTGATTCATTAAATTATTTAGGTTCATACTTTACAGCTGTCCACACGGTTTAGGAGGATAGTTTTGGACATTTTGGACAATTCTTCCATAATTGGATTTATAAACCCATATAAATTATTTCATATACTGTATAGGGACTCTGTGCAGTCTGGTTAGACTCATCCACACCAAACTCTCTCATCCATGTCTTTAAAAAGCTTGCTTTGTACAGTGGCGGGTAGCAACTAGTCATATATTCCCAATTACATTGACTTGAGTAGAATTTTGAAAAAAAATATATACTTGTTGGAGTAGTTACTCTAGTTCTCCCTTTTTATTTGAGTAATATAATAGTAAAGCATTGCTGATCCTACTTTAGTAGATATTCCAAGATCGGATTAATATACAGAAAATTGGAGGTATAGTCAGTGGATGCTCTTCACCGTATCTTATTGTAAGGATTAACATAAGTTTTATATTAGAAAAAAATATTTGAAGAGTTTCTTTTGCATGAACATATTTTGTAATAATGTGATTTATCTGTACCTTTGTATGCATCTTAGTCTACCCACCCACCCTCCCTTCTCATTCAGGGTTCCTTTGTCTGAAACTAAGCAGCCAAGCTGAACTCCTGAAAAACAGCCCAACTAATCCCCCTCCACCAAACTTTAAACCGGACACAATACCATCAGTTAAGTGCCGTTCTCTTGGCACCAACCAAACCCAGACACATCCATCATATCACCAGATGGAGAAGCAGGACCTGCTTATACCTACTATACCCAAACCTTATTATTGCACTTTGTAATGCGTGGTTGCAGCTGTTTAACCATAACCCTTTTCAGTCCCTCTATGTACTGTTTCTCAGCTAATTTAAAGTCCACATTAGGTTTTGAGGTTTTTTGACAAACAACTCTGCAAAGTTTGTGCATCATGCTCATCTGCATCAGCTGCCCCTCTTCATTGGGTTATGTGGCATACCAATTAACATCTGAATTACTCTCAAGCATAATAATCTCGCTAAACTTATGATCTTGTTGCATCTTATTGTTTTTAACCATATAGCTGATAAGTTTTCTTTAATCATATCAATCTTGCTTAAGTTTAATTTTTACTAGGCTAGTTTGTCAATAGATTCTTATATTTCATATTAACGTTGTGCATTTATTCCAAGTTAAAACTGATTTTGCTGTTTGGACAATGCAAGCCAATCAGGTGGTTGTTCATTATTTGTTAAATATTAAATGACAAATGCCTAATTGGACTGCAGTATGCACAACAAAAGGAATTTGACTTTTAATTTTTCATCCTTGATTTCTTAATCAAAGTACAAAGTACCACTCAGTCATTTCATAGACAATTAATAGAGTATATTAAGATGAAAATGTTACATAGGGCTCATTTGAATGGAGATCCAACTACTTTCATATTAATATACATTAATAGCTTGTAGGCTGATATGGCTTAAAATAAAATCTATAATTTTTTTCATACTAAAATCTGATTAATATATACATATATTTTTGTGTACCTTTACTTCAGTGTTAAAAAAAATCAAATGAAAGAAATATTTGTACTTTTAAAAACTAGCTTTAATTTCAAAAATTCCTTCTGGTAGTTGATCCAATTTTAAACTGTAACTAAACCCAAGCTGAGAAACAAGTTATCTGACCTATCCATTGTAAACAATGGAAATATTGAATGCAGCTGGTGGTATTGCAGTGAGTGGTATCGGCTATGACCAACTAGCTACGGTAATAGACATTTAAGAAGACATTAGGGTTTTTTGTTCCCTTATTATTCCTTGTGCAAAACAATACATTCTGGGGCAAAATCTTCTTGACTTTTGCATATTTCTAACATGCAGCAAAACATAATATCTATCAATATCCCTGGTATGGTTGGACTAGGGAACAAAAATTCCTTAACACAGGAATGAAAATATCTGATAAACACAAACCAGATTAAATTAATCTTCTAAATGATCCGTCTGTAATTATTTTTTATTTAAGAAATTATCATGTGAAGTATAAATTGTTCTAAAAGCATAACCTGAAGAATTCCTTCAGTTTAATTCGTCCCCCCAAGAAATACTGTCTGAACAGGAAGCAGCGTCTCCAACCAACACTTTAAATGATGTTTGCCTCAAAAATAGTTAAGTTTTGTTAACACCTGAACAGTTGTGAATTTTAAAATAAACTTCATCTGCATAGGGTGTTATTTCTTTTGAAAATGCAACTAAAGTTTTACTTACTGGAAACACAAACACATGGCTTAGACAGGACTGTACATGTCTTTATTTTAAGGGCTGCAGAAGAATATGGAGAGGAACATGTTTATAGGTTAAAAAGGGGGGGAGGGGAAATGTTTGTGGTGCAGAGATGGGGGGGGAAAAAGGAGAGTCAAAGCTTTATTGAAAACCAGAAGAGTAAAAGCAGTCAGAAATTCAGAGCAATAATACTACATAGAAAAATACATGAGCGATCTGTTCCATGTGGTGCACTCCAAACGGGTTAATAAATTAACACACAAATGAGAGATGTGCATAATGTGGGTGTTAAATGTAACGTGGTTTTGTCACCCGCTGATGTGACGTTTGGCTTGTGATACTCTCTACAGGTCCTAACATCTTAGATAAATACATAACATACTGCATATACTTCAAAACAAGATTCAAGTCCCTTTGCGGCATTTTCATTTTGGCTGCCTCGTTCTGGGCTCCTCGTGTCAAACTGAATGAGGGCCTGAGGATTAAAAACGGGCCGGATTATCTGAGATCATTCAGTTTTCGTTTACAGGCTTTTAGAAACAGTTCCTTCTGTCTAAAACATACAGATAAACCACAATCGTATAAAAGTTTGTTTCTCACTTGTTTTGCTTGCAGAGAAATGGGAGAGCTTTATTCGAGGCAATGAGCCCGTTTGGTTTTTTCAGGCAGTCTTTTTTTTTTGTTTGTTTTTTTACAGTCTCTCAGGTAGAAAGGAACAAAAAAAAGGACCAAGGTGGAAGTAGGCGTCTCATGCTGGCCCATCACCGCGTTTTTAGAAGTGCTCTGTACATGGCGAAGCCCAGCACGGCGAACACCGTGGCCCCGAGGCTGGCCCTCAGCCAGAAGGTGGAGTTCTTCAGGTCTGCCTGGGCCATGTGCCTAAGAGAGGACAGACACACAGGAGGTGAGAGAGGAGCAGATACATGTGAGGAAATCAAGGAGCAGCATGGATCCAGCACTGCAGTGATCGGGTGGGAGGGTTCCAAGGAAAGGAACTTTCTAAATCTGAATCACATGTAAAGAAAACCATATCCAGCCTGAAACCTGACCTGGGCTTTGTTTTTGAAATGTAGTTTCAGGTACAAGTCTAACAAAGAGGAAATACAGGCAACATAAAAACAGCAGATCTCCTAAACAACATAACATTTATTACTTTATGTCGTGACAGCAGCTCTGGAGGAATCTCATGAAGAAGAACGAGCTTATATAAAGATAATGATAAACAGAACAGTGCTATTCAACCCTAACTTTCTGACCTAGACAGCATCCCACACCCATTATTAGTTAAGGTGTCCCCATTTTCAGTCTACAGAAAAACAGCCCATGTAGTTACCCTGCTGATATCAGCTGGGTTTACTTTACTTTCCCTCAAAGTAGCAGTAAAAATCCAAAATACTCAGAACAATACACACCTGTACTACAATGATTCCATCCAGGAGGTATTAATCAAATATAATTAGTCCATCTCAAATATATAAGAGTTGTGTTTTGGTTCAAGTTGAACATTATTCT